ACATCTGCAATGTCCTAACTTCAACATTTGACAGAGGCTAGTCATCACTCAGAAGACATGTATTAACAAATTCCTTTATATTCAATGCTGTTTTCTTTACTTTATTCAGAAATTAAATGAATTTCAAGAAAGATGAGAAGCACATATAAAAAAGTGTAAATAGTAAAATTTACATATATTAGTAATTATTTCAATAAAAATTATACTGCTTAATATAAACTTCTCCATCAGCAAAATAAATTAAATTTACACTGAAGAGCAATTGAATTAGGGATACCTGCCTAGTAGCACATAGCACCACCTTTCGCCTTGATGACGGCTGCAATTCATCTTGGCATGGATTCCACAAGACACTGGAAGCGATGGAAAGCCTTATGTATTCACGAGTCCTGAATAATCTTCCACAAATCATGAAGATTAGATGGAAGGTGGTCGGAGCCTTGAACATCTCTCTCAATTGCATCCTAGATGTGCTCGATTGGATTGAGGTAAGGTAACTGTGATGGCCAGAAAAGCACGTGCAGGTCTGTGGAATGTTCATCCAACCATTCCAATACAATTCAGGAGCAATGGCATGGTGCATTGTCTTGTTGAAAGACAATCTCTGTAGTGGGCTGTCGAGAACGAACAAACAGTAGCAGATGGTTGTCAAGGATATACTGGTAATGTTCACCTGTCAGTGACACTGTTACGCGTACCAGGGGTCCCATTTCAGTCCATGTGAACAGTCTCCACACAACAATGCCACCCCTGCCAGCTTGAAGAGTCCCCGCTGGCAGGAAGGATCTGTCGCTTCATGTGGTTTACAACGTACACATGATCTGCTATCGGCATGTACCAAAGTGAATCTTGACTCATCACTCCAGGCAACATTTTTCCACATCTCGACGGTCAATGGTGATGTTCCCGTACCCATGCTAATCATTGTGCCCTGTTTTGTGCAGTCAGCAGGGGGGCTGTCATAGGACGATGACTCCTGTACCCCATTGAGAGGAGATGGTTTTGTATGGTGTGGCAGCTTACACCTTGCTGTGCACCAGCGTTAAATCGACAGGTGATCTGTTGCACTGTGGCCTGTCTAGCCACTGTTACATTGCAGGCTAGCCACCAATGATCTCTCTCATCCACATGCTGTTTTGACAGTTGACCCTGGCAGCGATGGTTTTACTGGAATTGACATACTCATGGTACACCTTAGACACAGTAGTGCATGAAAATCCCAGTGTTTCCACTACTTTCAAAATGGAGTGACCCATTCATTGGGCCCCGATGATTTGTCCATGATCAAATGCACTTAGATCTTTACTCTTAACCATTTTGCTTCTGACTATTACTGATACCGTTAACAGCACTCCTTAGCTTGTCAAACTGCTGCTTACCTCATCTGCAAATCACTTTCATGCTTATGCACAACTCAAAATTTGCGTAACGCCAGCTATCCCTAATTCAATTGCTCTTCAGTGTATCTAACAATACTTTTTAATAATCACAAAAAAAAAATGAATTGAAATAATTTCGTTCTATTTCTTAGCATGAAAGCTTATTTTCATTTAAATTATTGAAGTAATAAAACATAATTATCATGTAAAGTCAATATATAAATTATTTCTGTAAAAACTGTTTGGATATCTTTAGTTGGGATGGAATACATTATAATTTTTCCCATTGAAATTAATGGGATTTCAATGGGAAAAATGAGTTATTTAATGGCTTTTTGCTATGTAACAGAGTTTTCATTAAGTGAGGGAAATGTGTGTTATAAATGTAATTATGAAATACAGTAAGAAATTTTTTAAATTGTATTATTTAAATTTATTGAAGTGTTGTTTAAACCAAATTCATTAAAAAAAACAAATAATAATTTACCAGTTTCCTATGACAATTGACTGCATTCATGTCAAAAAAACCTTTTGACAAAAAAGCCACAAATATAAACAAAAACAAACTTCAATAATATGAAACAAGCACATAAACAGTATAATCNAAAAATATTACTAAATATTTAATAAAAACAAATATAAAAAAGTGGTGATTAAAATAAAATTTAAATGATATTGAACACTAACTTTTTATTAACACTAACATCAGTCTTTCATTATTCAATAGACACAGACCGATAAAGATTTGGATTTAAAGTTGTAATTTTTGGTCAGTCAGTTAAATAGTCGTGATAGTTATTTTAAATGCTTTTACTAACTAGAATTTGAAAATATTCAATTGAGAATAATGCAAGGAAATATAAATAAAAAACAATGAAGTTCTCTCTTTCTGCATCTTTTATTGTTGACATCTAATACTTGTATAAGCAGAGTCAGTAGTTATACTGGTCCTTCAGCTATGTTCCTAACATGAGTTAATATGTTTAGTAATCGATAGCTGGCACTCAAATTGCTTTGCAGCTAGAAGAAGCTGTTTTAATCCATTTGGTCAGTAGATAGTTTTACTGTTTACAAGTTGTTTTGTGACTTTTTTTCTCCACTGTTCTGTCAAGAAAAATCTTATAAAATTAAATAATGTAATTATTAGTATCATGTATAAAGAAAGAAAATTTATATTTGGTTTCTGGAAAAATTTAATAGGGATGATAATTTGAAATTACAGATGAAAATGTGGATAAATTAAATTGAAAATAAAATTATTTTTTAAATCTTTATTTAAAACTGTTATATTGCTACATATTGTGTATGCAAGTTTTGTACTTAATGTTCTGTTTCAGTATACGGTATATCTGTTTAATTAGTAGGTGCATTTGCATTTTTTTTATTGTATTTTATTACATATCTATGACAATATATAAATACATCAGAGGATAACCATAGCTTATCCTCTGATGCATTTAAATAGCTCCAGAAATTTAATCCAGATAAAGCAAACTTTATTTTTCAAATAATTTATTAATTATAGTAATAAATAGTGTACAATTTTATTTGACTCAGTACACTGAGAAACAGTATTTAGGATATCGTTTTTGACATATGAAATTACATTTCTTATGACATTCACATTACATATTTTGATAGTTTATAAGATGGGGCACAAACTGCACAAAAGCTAACAAAAAGCTACCAGAAGGGAAAGAACATGATACAAGGCACAATGCATTTGCAAATAGTTACCCAATTTTAAAAAGCTACGAAAAGTTAATTGTAAAACAGACAACATATGAATAGCTCAGTAAATCTAATTAATTATAATTTGGTACAACCAACAAAAATGGATGAACAAACTGGTAAAATCTGGATATTACAGATAAATACACAGAGGGAAAGCAGCTACCTCATTAGTTGTTAAAACGGCCAATGAAGTAAACGCAGACATTATCTTAATTACTAACACAAAAAAATCCCAGAAAACTCCACATAGCTAGTCTGTTGTCCATGTGCAAACCCAAGACTGACTACCAGTGTTTGGTGGATTTATCCACTCGGTTACTGGAGGGTACTTATTGGACTTCAATTTGAAAAATTGTAGACCTATAAATTCCCACTGTTGTCTTTCCATCTCTGTTCTTCTGTAATATCGAGAATGGAGTTAGATAGACGAAAGGCGAGACCTGACTTGGAAATCATAAGAGAAAGAGGACCAGATTAACTAATATGAACTTCCAATTTGTACTGCAAGTCACGTTATTTCAATTCAAAAATTTTCCCTTGAATGGAGTTAGATACGTAACCAGTATGACTATTGCTAACAGGAAAAGTATGATGTACGGGGGCAAAACACTACTACACTCCACACAGACAAGTGCTATGTGCTACCTGTCACAGTAATGGTGTAATGGCACATCTATGTCACACTATATCATTGTCACAGTAGTTCGACGAAATTAATATATATATATTTTTAAAATTATATCCTTTTTTTGTAAGAATTATAATTAGTTAATTATTTTGTTAAATTTTTTCCAATAGATAGCACTACATGTAAAAACGGCAATCCAATGTAGGCAGAAATTAATTGATGTATAGAAATCCAATCAATAATTTGGGGTGGAATGTATGACATTAAGTAAGTTGGAAGTATTTGAATGTTTCATAGCAATTGGTCGAATGGCCTAGGCATGCAAAGCAAGCAAGCAAACAAACATCCTCATTTGTGTGTATAGATGAACAAAAGGCTTGGACAGCTCTATCTGCTGCTGACAAGATTTGAATCTCAATTACAACATCAGATTTTACATTTTTAATGTGTTTAATGGCCAACTGTAACTGATCCTTTGTGATATTTTTCATTTGCAATGTGATATTGTCTTTCAAGGCAGCCAAATTTGTAATATGTCCTTGATAAACCACACTTTACTATTACTCACTTCCTGGGTATTACTATGTAAATTCTCTGTAGACAGATACCCTACGTTCTGTAAATTTGGAAGCTGTACTGGTTGTTTGAATGCCCAAGGAAAATTTAATTTTTTTTCCATTCAATCTTCTTTGGAGTTTAAATAAAGGCATTTAAACATTCAGTATAGCTTCCAGTTTTATATAACTTGTATTAATATATGTCTAGTGAGAATTTATCTTTTGTTGCTTGCAGTATAAAAGTGCTATAGTGATTGTCAAGTAGGATTAACAGAAAGTCAAAGACAAAGCAATTTTTTAATAATCTTTCAATTCATTTTTAAAACAACAAAGATTTGCTTGAAGTTAAAATTTTTGAAATTAAACAATTTGTTTGTTTTCACTATAACTTGATAAATAGTCCAAAATCATTTAAAAGGATAAGAAATTATTAAATTCCTCAAAAGTTTTGGACATTTCAATTATTTCATTAAAAATCTGTATTTTTGACAAATTAAGATTAAATTGGATTATATTTCTGTACTGTAGTTCTGTTGCAGTTTACCTGGTCATTTAAATTTAATTAGATGCATTTGTATAGATAATAATAAAATTTGTTTTTGTTTTTAAATACTAAAATTTATAGAATAACTATTTATTTAATAGAAACATTATTGCTCATTTTTTGGAATTTTAACATTTGTTTTTTATTTTATTAAACAGAAGAAATGCCTGCTCATTTAGAAGGTTCTACAAAATTTGGTGACAATATTGAAGATGAATGGTTTATTGTATTTCTTCTAATGCAGTTAACTAAAGAAGATGAACATTTAGTTGTGAAGTAATTAGTGCTTTATTTATTAATTATTTTTTTTATTTTCATGAGACTCTCTTTAAAATGAATGTGATACTTTAAGAATGTATATTACAAAGTTATAAAAATAAAAATTTGAGAAAAGTTTAATAAATGATTTGAAACAAAATATTCATGAACCAAGTTCATATAACAAGAAATAAATTAAATTTTAAACTTTTAGAAGTTTTTTTTTTAAATATTTGTCAGTAATTAAAGGCAAATTGGAAATCATTATCAAAGGAGTATAATTAGAATGCACATAGCCAAATATAATATATGAATATGAGTAAAAAAAAATAATAGTGTTAAAGACACTTCTTTAGAACTTTGGAAACAGGAAATAAAAGTTTTGCTTAGAAGTTGAATCTGGAGTAATGAGACTACCCAAAATAAGGATTTGGTTGGTGAAGATAAGAAAACATAGTAACCAATGGCTATGTAACAAGTATAAATTTTAACTTTATATTTAATCCTTTGAACTGCTTATCTGATTCTGAACTCAGCTATGAAAATTATTTGAATATATTATTTGAGTTATTTTAAACATCGTTTAAGTCAGAATAATGTAAAATTATTGGTCTTGCTGAATAACTTTTACAGAAAATATTGTGTTAAATATAAAAATATCAGTCTCTATATTTAAAACAGAAGTTAGGTCTGATCAGAAAGTATCTGTTAAACTAAAAAACAAAAATTTGCTAGTGTAAAGACTAAATTGCTTTCATAATAATTTTTTTTTTCTCATTTCATACTCTGTTATTTCATGTTATACTTTATTACAGTTTTAAATTTTGTAATTACAAAAAACTGAATTTCTTTAAGCTTCTTAGCTAGTCTAGTTTTGTTATCCTTATTTATTCTGGAAATGGTTTACCTTTCACTTTGATACAAGTGGAAAGTTTCTAGAGACACTTGTCTATCATGGAAAGAATGGTGGGCAGTGGAAAATTTAATGCAGATTTCTTCAGAACTATAATCAGGAAGTTAATGTCACTATACATTCTAGAACATATATCAGACATCAGTTTCTTCCATAATTCATTATCAAGGGATTGAAGTGTGGGGTTGATGAGGACCATTCCTATGGAGATAACTGCACTTCTTCTCTGAACCATATCTGAATACTCTAGGCTTTGTGAACATGTGCTGAATCTTGCTGATAGATGCTTTACCCATCAGATACCCAGCAATTACCATTAGCTTTAGGTCAAATTTTATCCTGATAGTTTTTGCAGTCAACTACCTCTTGCATTTGTCCACTTCTTCCATCCTTCTTGAAAAGACACAGTTCACTAAACATGACCTTTCTGAGTCTGAGTTAGATATGATAGATGTTCTTCACCAGAAATGTCTGTAGTCCTTTTAACTAGACTTGTGCTGTTTTGCAAACTCACTTATTAGATAACATTGAAGTATTTCTTGTTAGAAATGACCATTTTTGGAAGTTTTGGTTCCAAGCAACTGCTTGCATTTTTTTTAGAACTTTGATAAGATAATACCTGTACTCCATTTGATAAGCCTTATCCAAAGTCTTTGCACATGGTTCTGTAAAGTCTGGATATACTTGTCTTCAGTTATCTATCCATGGCTTTTTGGTTCCTCTAGAGAATTTGTCAGATTTGAGTTGTGACCCATTTCATAAATTCTGCCATGAAAATACTGCAGCACTTTAACACTCCTGATTTTATTGATAATGTCTTCACGTTCTTATCATTGCTTTTTAGTGTAATAAAGAAACGGCTGAGTAATTTTTCAGATGTTCATTTTGTTCAGAATTAGAATGAAAAAGTAAAGTAGACAATATCATAAACAGATGTGTGCTCATCTTTGAAGAATTGAGCACACATCTGTTCAGGTGTGTTCATCAAGAGCAACATCAAAAATGTTGCTGAAGTGATAGATGGAACATAAAAAATGTAACAAAATTATTACAAGTTTACTTCTAGCCCTTGGTATAATTATATTAATTAAATTATCAACATAATCTGTCTGTATAACTTTAGTTCATAAATGTAAACTAATAATTGGCTAACTTATAACTGTTTTGTTTCCGCACCCTGTGTGTCACGCTACCCTGCAACATTATGAAGATTTATTACACCTGTCTACACTGATGATGCTTACTGCTCATACCGTTACAGCAGTGTTTTCATCTTCATGTATAGCTTTAGGCATAGTTTTAGGTTTATCTTTACCTTATATAATTTTAAATATACTAAAATCTTTAGTTAATACCAACTGATGAGGGACTTTCCTACCAGAAAATAGTCCAAAATGCATTTTAGGTTTTTTTATTTCCATACTTAAGTAGTCATTTTTGTGTTTATTAAATGTTTTCACTTTGATTCCTGAGCATTTGTGCCAATCATTGGTCTGATAAGCCCTCGCTATTATCTGCCTCACTGTTGTTGATAATTTAATTAATATAAAAAATGTAATTGAATATATGAAATAATTGAGAGTAATTATTCTAAATACCTTATATTGCTAGAACCACTTCTTCAAATGATTTCAAGTACTTCTAACTCTATCTGAATATTGTGGGGCCTTTGCTCCTTAGACCAACCAATCTGAATAATAATAAAAGTGTTTTTTTAATTATAATTACTAATTACTTTTATTTGGAACTATTATTGTTTTGACAATTGAACTAACTTAAGTATATAAATACACAACAATGTTTTTATCTCATAGATAGAAAAACAAAATTTTTTATTAGTATGATTTGTAATAAATGTATAAATGTATTATCATAAAATTATCACTGAGATATTTATTACATAAAAATTTTATTTAACTAATATTTTTAGTAACTGTTTTTAATTTCCTATATTTAATTATAATTTATTTAACTATTTTATAAATACTATAATTTATTTAAATATTAATACAATTTTCTGTATCTTGTTCTTCTAGAGTGAAGGATAATGATGGTGAATTTCTACTTATTGAAGCCGCAGAATCACTGCCAAAATGGCTTAATCCTGATACAAGTGAAAATAGGGTAATATGATTTGAAATATACTGTACTTTTAAAATTACTCAAACATTTAAATCTTATCAATAAAATTAAGCAATACATTTTTATCATTATTGGATTTTAATGGTGTAAAATAAAAATAGAAATTTGAAATATTTCTTATTAACTCATTTTTACAGCACACAAAAAATCTTACCAAAAATAAATTACTTGAAGTTCTAATTAACTAATCCTACGCATATTCTGTACTCAAATAAAATGCATTAAATTTCTGAATAATTTAACAAGTAGATAAATTTGTTTATTTGTTAAATCTTACATTTCTTTAACAAATCTTTTAAAGACATAAACATACAAGTTTTATGTCTAATGTTACTGGATATATCAGATACAACTGCTAAATCTTGTATTTAATGATATGATTAATTTAGATAATTTGTTACTTTTATAATAAATTTCATTATAACTTTATTTTTCATTACTTGACATCTTTTTTTTTTGACTTTTTTCATAAATCTTTACAAAAAGTAGGAAAAGAAACTTTTTGTTACTTTATGGAAGTAATTTACTGAAACTTTGATAAATATTTTTGAGATTAATTCTCATCTAAAAATAAAAATATTCTTTTAATCTATACAAATTTATTCAAATATAACTAGTATTTGGGATTTTAGAATGTTTTAAATTTCTTGAACTTTTATCACCTTAGAGTAGAATTTTTCTCAGCTTTTTTCAGTTTATTCAACATGCTAGTTTATTTGAAATTTGTATTTAAAGTGCATTTAAAAACATATTTTATTATTTCTATTATTAGACTTATTCTAATTATTTTATTGAAGGTATATATATATCGACAAAACATTAACATTATCAGCAGTACTCAAGTTCCTGCTCAATCATCTGTTCCTACTGAAAAGCCAAAAATTTCAGATTGCATTAAAGCTGTTGTCAGTACCTCATGTCCTACTAAAGCAAGTCAAGCAATTCAACAAGCTATAAAATATCGAATAAAGGGGTATGTGATTAACTTCATTACTGATCTTTCCTGAAAAATTAATATATTTTATCTTAGCATTTGTATTATTTGCTATAAATTTTACTTAATTATATGAAAAACTAGACTCAAACTAATGCCAAAAAAGTTAACATTGGAAATAGATTTAGGATTGTGTTCTAAAATATGTTTTTTTTTTTATATTGAAATTCCCTTATTGTGAGATCAGCCGGGGGTACACAAATTCGTTAGTACCACTTAATCGGCCTATTCCGTGAGAATAGTTCTCCGAGTTTCGAATCGTAAGATCCGATCGTAAAAAGCTTACATAGGAGAGCGTATTTTAAAATGATCTGAACGAGAAGTTCAGATGTTCGTCAGGATTCCTTGACACCAGTTAATCAAACTTATTATACGCGGATTAACACGCGTTTGCGATCTGATTCGGAATAAATTGAGGAAACATTCTTATAAAATAAAACAAGAGTAAATTTAATAAATCTCAAACAAACGAATACAAAAATGTCGATTACAACCATTTAGCGACAAGTTAGAGACTACGACTAAATCTATGCTAATGCGCGTTCGAGAGAGAGAGCTCACAAAATGATTCTAAACATACGACCTGTTTAGTTGTCGTCGTCTCCGTTTCTGTAGATATAGGACACCTTGTAGATAGAGTTCATATTACTTTCGTATGGGAGATCAATTCGTGCACAAAATATAAAAATATCACTTCTTCTAAGTGTAGACTCGGGACTTAGTCTATCGGACTCCGTTATGGGCGTTGGCCATCAGGAGGAAAAACTGCG